GACAGCTTTTTCCTGACTTTTAGTCCCGAATTAAGTGCTGATTTAGGTATGTGTGTTAAAGATAGTATATAATAAAATAGAAAAAAAAGCAAACATTAATCAAAGTTAAGTAAATAAAGGCACAGACAAGTTTAATAAAAGTACATGCAGTTAGACCAGAATTCAATTCTTTGTTTGTTTTTTAGTGTTTGTCAGTGTAATTGTCTTCTTAGGGAAACCAGTAAGGAATGTATTACAGTCGTCCACTTTGCAAACACTAAAAGCATGAATGATGAATGAATGCTTTTTTAAAAAAATCTTGCTTGGATACAAAATTACTCCAGAATGAGGATTTATTTACATCAATCACCCCCAACACAACCTGATCACATCTTTTATTAGAACTGTCCTGCCATGAAACTGGTCATGGCTTTCAAACTCCAGATGCCCTCGGCGCTTGCTTGTCAAAAGTTTAAAATGTATTTCCAAAACCGGGATTACCGTGATGTCATCGTGAGAGGAAATTTAATAAGAAAAGCCTTCAGATATCTTATCAAGGGACACAGAAAACATTGAATTGCTTTTCACGTGACGAGTAAACAGGTCTTCATTAGTGGCTCTTTGGTGAAATGATAAATAAAATAGCACACTGACACATGAACTAGTGTTTTCTATTTGATTTATTTGTTCTTTAAATAATGAATATTGGAAAAATGATCAGATACAGATGCACACAGGTGTCTTTTTTATCTCTGGGAGGTCATAACCCTCAAACAGGTGTTTGATGTTGTGAGGCCCAGAAATGTCCTCATTACGAGGGTTTTGAACAAAAATTTGTCCACACAAAGACAGCACACACACACAATGTTTGGTGCTCTGCAGGTAATGCACAGTAAGATTTTTGAACTTACGCGCTACACTCTGCGGCCAGAAAACAACACGATAGGAGCGTGAAAGTAAACCAAACATTGAGCTAAAATTCACTACAAAGCTTCATAAACTCAAGGAGAGCTGCAGATTTAAGTGATAACTCTTCATAAGTTCCTCTTTAAGGTGACTTATGATCCTCTTTCCCTTTGTTTTATTTCAAAAGTTGCTTTAAACATTATCCATTCGTTATTATTAAGGGTTCAATAATATTCTCTGTAAATTCCATCTCTTTACATCACAGTCACAAATATAATATACAAAATTCTTATTAATTCCATTTTGTGTGTGAAATGTTCCTGGAGGTTCCCAAAAGCATTCACAAAATAACTTTCAAGCAACTTGTAGGGAAGACTCCATGAATCATGAATATCCTTCATTCATTCAGAGAACTTTCTCTGAAGCCTCCTGAAATGTTCCCCCAAAGTTCTACAAAACTGGCTGAGAAATGTTACTTGAGGTTCTCTAACGCAGTGGTTCTGAAAGCTGGGAACAGGAGGTTTGCAAGACACCGAGTCGGATTTGCAAGATGATTTCCTGAAATCCAATTGGAAACAGCAGGTTTTAGCCATAATTATTACAAATGATTAACACCCTCGGGAACATTAGGGGTCATGAGTTGTTAATTTGGGGGTCAGAGGCTGGAAAGTTTGGGAACACTTGCTCCAAAAGTTTCACAAAATAACCTTCCCTGAATGTCTCTGATTGTTCCACAAAGCTACACGAGTCAGTGGAGCTGTCATTACTGAAATTACCAATTAAATGATATGCATCCTCTGGCTCATGAGATATTTCTTCCTTGATGTGAAGCAGGCTGCTCTGGAGAAAGAAAGATTCAAAGAATGTTTTAAGGACATTTCTCATTTCAAACATAAGGTTCCCATAAGGTTAAG